TTTCCCACTCCATTCAGCCTTCGGGGACCTGAGAGAGCCCGGACTAGAGGTGCCTTGTGGTAGGTTCCCTTCTCCCTTCTCTAGCACACAATGTAATCAGTTGACTTCTACCTGGAGAGAAATTGCAGGTGCTGACTGATGGAAGAATGAGTTTCATGTAATAGTAGGCAGATTCCAAGGCAGAAGAATAATGTCCATTATTCTGAACCTTTGAGAGATTAAATATCTGTATGTGGGAGAGAACATTCCAGAAGTATCCTACAAGAGTGAGCCAGCGACTTGTCAGTTTTTGTTTCACTAGGTTTGAAGGTGGCCAACTAGGATAAATTACCAATTTAACTTTACTACTGTTACATGACGCCAAGTTTTTTTTTTTTTTTCACATGAAACCCACTTTTAAAAAGTAGTAAAGTGTTAAGCTCTATATTGTTATACAGTGCAAAAGTTTACTATAGATAATAGTGATTTTTGGATGAGTGACCAAAAATCGCTTAACAGACAGAAAAATCTTTCTTGGGGACAGCTTGGATCTAGATATCCAAACTAAGCAAAGTTCTGTATTTAGACGTAGTTTGGACAAACACTGGAAGTGAAGTTCCATAGCTGTGTATAGGATAACCACAGTTTACCATCCAAAGTAGACATTTGATAGACTAACTGGTCTAAACTGGGCTAAGCTTGTAATCAGTGTCACTGCACTTGTTTAAAGGAACGATTAATGCACATTTTGGAAATGTATTTGCTTCTGGCTATAATGATTCCTAAAAATAAAACTTCACCAACAGTCCAATGGCCACCCTTCCTGGAGAAGAGGTGGTTCCCCTGGTCTCTGCTGGCTTGCACATTGCCCCTTTCTTAGCTTGAGCCAGTGGGGTCTGAGCTTTTGGGTGTTTAACTTTCTGAGGATGGATAGTTGTTGGCTTTTGAAATATCAAAATTTTTTGTTTGTTTGTTCTTTTTAAAATAAATGTCTTTCAAAAAAATTTCAAAGCATTGATGAAATTTGATAGCTGGGTTTTTAAAAAATGTTTAGGTAAACACTGGATAATATAAATTTTGAAAATGAAGAGGAGTAAAGACTAAGCATTTTATTATGTATGTTTGTCTCCTGGGAACTCAGTCCTTAAGTTCTATCAGGGACAACCTAATAGGCAAAAGTGCCTGAAGCTGGAGATGCAGGAGCTTAGTTGGTCTTAAATGAGGATATTATCGTTTTTTTCTTAATATTTATTTTTATTTTTTCCACTTTTTATTTTTTATTTCATTTTATATTCCAACCATAGTCCTCCACCCCACCCCTCCCTAGCCCACCCCCAGTCCACTGGGGGTAAGGGCTCCCATGAGGAGCCAACAAAGTCTGGCACAATAGATTGGGACAGGGACAGGCCCCCTTTCCCATGCTTTAGGACTGAGTGAGTATGGCATCCCACCATGGGGAGTGGGCTCCAACAAGCTAGCTCATGTACCAGGTTTGCATCGCAGTCCTACTACCAGGGGTCCCTCAGCTAGCCCAAGCTTCACAAGTGTCTCTCACATATGGTAGACCTAGTTTTGTCCCCTGGAGTCTCCACAGTTGTAGTTCTAGAGTTCATGAGTTTCTTCAAGCTTGGTTCAGCTGCCTCTGTAGATTTCTCCATCCTGATCTTAGGAGTCAGAGGGGATGGGGGACATCAGAACTTGGCCACTCAAGCAAGCAAGCAGGGCCCATATGGGCTTATGTAAACTGAAGGAGCAAGCACTGGGCTTTCATGGTTCTTCACCAGGTCCTCTCTGTAAATATGTTATGACTGTTAAGCTTGGTGTTTTTGTAGGACTCATTGCAGTGCTAGTGGGTGTGTCTCTGATCGTCTACCTGCTCTTCCTCCTATTGGGTTGCCTTATCAAGCCACAATATGAGGGCTTTTGCCTTGTCTTATTGTATCTTGTTTTGTCTTGCTTGGTTGTTGTTTCTTGGAGGCTTGATGTTTTCTGCAGGGAAATGGAGGGAGAATGGATCTGGGGGAGAGGGGAGGTCTGTGGGAGGGGGGCAGTGTAAGGAGAAAAAGGAAGGGATATTGTGGTCAGGATACATTATATGAGATAAAGAGAAGAATCTAATTTCAATTAAAAAACAATACATTCTGATTTTCCTCACACACAAAAAAAAATGAGGGCAAAATCATGTGCAGATTGCCCTGACTTTTGTTTCTTTGGAAATAAGCTTGATATCAATGCATCTATTATTATTCAGGGCCTTCCAGCCACCCCACTTCTACAATATTAATTTGCTCAATTTCTCTGTCCAGAGAATGGTTTTTGATAGGAAACCAGTGCCATGCCATTGAGTGATTTTGTAGCTTTTAATTTGGACCAAAGAGAGTGTAGTGGAAGAAAAGAGAATAGCAAAGAATATGAATTGTGAAAATGAAGAGGAGTAAAGAGTAAGCATTATAACTTACATTTATCTCCTGGAGCTCAGTCCTTAAGTTCTCTCAGGGACAACTGAACAAGCAGCAGCCTGATGTAGATGCAGGGGCTTAGGATCCTTTACTACATGGTTTTTGTTACTGTTATTGAGATGTTGCTTTTGTTTATGGTTTTTTCCTTAAAGGGGTCTGTCTCTGTCCCCCTCTCCCCCCCCTCTCTCTCTCTCTCTCTGTGTGTGTGTGTGTGTAATGGTGACAGTGTGTGTGTGCGCACATGCACACAGGCACACATCTTGAATCCTAGGTTGTTAGATTTATGTCTGAGATGTCCTGTAACTGTAAACATTTTCTGCCCTGCTAACAATTGACTTCTTTGTTTCTAGTAAACAGACCTGTTAAAGATACAACCGTGTTTGATTGTAAGGTGTTCTTCCCTGCCTTCTTCCTTTGAACATAATGTGTACTTTGATAGGTCTCATTTTAGATGTGAAAACTTCCTTCTATTCCTGGGTGTGACCGCCCCAGGATAGCTTTGCAGATATTCTTGCCATGGCAACTTGCAGTGAATACAGAAATGACCCTAACAACAGATTAGGTCAGAGATATACTTTGTTTTTAGAGGTGGAACCGGTATGTGCTGTTTTTTGAGTGGAAAATCTATCAAACTAAACTTAAAAAAAAAAAAAAAGACTGTAAAGTTTTCCAAGAACATTTACAAGGCAGAGTGTTTACTAGGCCCCAGAACTTTTGAACAAAATGTTTTGTTCTAAAACCCCTAGTGTATTTGGACACAGGGTGTTTTCTTTCAGCTCTTCTAAGTTCATGTATTTATATTTGCTATTAAGTGAGATAATGTCATTGCTCCTAGAGTATATTAAAATTTATTGTAGGGTTATCTGTTTACTTAGCAGTTCAGTTGAGGCTTATCTGTAAGGATGGAAGATAGCAGAGGGCAAGGACAGCCAAGGGAGATGAGTTTATGAATAAGAAATTAGTTTAGCTAGGTACAAGGAATCCAGGCTGAGTAATTTGATATTCATGAGTGACAGGCCATGAAGAATTACTCAACAGAGGAAAAGATCATAGAATCAATGAGTAGGAACTAGCACAGGTTAAATAAGTTTGGAGGGGGTGAGGCTTTGAGTTGTTGAGCTAGAACTCTGGGTGCCAGCTAGAGCACGGTATGTCTCGGCTGTGTTTGATGGTAATGATAAGCATGGGTAAGGGGCTGGGGTAGCAGGCTCAAGGCCACTGGAGAAGTCAAAGAACTGAGAGACCACAACAAGAAAAGGAGCTATTCATAGATTGCAAAGAAGAAAGGAATGCTGGCCAGATACAGTGAGCTCGGGAGTCATCAACTTGGGAGTATTGGAAGACTCTCAAGTCTGTACAAGTGTGTGATTAGAACAGAGACTAATGGCATGAGCTCCAAAGTCTAGTTCTTTTTGGGAGCAGGAAGTGGTCATTTTCCAGAAGTGAGCAGAGCAAACAGGGGATATGGCATCCTCTAGAGGGACCAAGATTCTGTTAGAAGAAACAGAATTATTAGAAGGTAGATTAGAAAGCCTCAGACTTTACTGAACTCCCTGAGGAAGGGCACTCCAGAAGGGCACAGTAGGAGGCATTCAAGAACAAACTGTCCTGAGGGAATTAGCCTAGCTCACAGTGTGAGGGTGAATAAGCAAGGATGGGGACACAGCAAGATTTAAGTTTGGTGGCTTCTGTAACAAGAGGCCATAATGTGGGAGATGGTGGACTGGGCATTTTGCCAGAGCAAGCAGACCTCCTGGGGGCTCTGCTTCTATCAACAAATCCCTGAGGTTCTACAAGCAGACCTCTGGGGTTCTACTTCAATCCTCCGTTGTAGTCATTTGGGGGTACAGGGTGAAACCTGGGCTCCCTGAGCATGGGTAGGTTTTTACAGCCTCCTCTTCATTCTGTGGTGGAGGTGGCTGTAAAAGGTAGGGAGATGCACCGTTTGTGAGTCACGACGCATGCAAGTCTTGCTGACTATAACCGTTACAGAATGATGGCAAAAGTAGCCTAGGAAGCTCTGTATTGGGTTAATTATTCAATATTTCATCTTTGCAATGATCTAACCCTTGTGTGTTGTTCCTACAATGGCAATGTAAAGTCTCATGGTATTGCCTGCTAGATACTTGGATTTTTGGCAGAAATTTCTCATAGTTTGTATTCAAGAAGTGCCCAGCTTTGATTTGTGTTGATTTTTAATTCCATGTAAGAAATGATCTGTGTTTTCAAAATTTCAGAAATTTCTCATAGTTTGTATTCAAGAAGTGCCCAGGTTTGATTTATGTTGATTTTTAATTCCATGTAAGAAATGATCTGTGTTTTCAAAAATTATATTGTTCTGTTATCTGGGATGTTCTTTAGTGTGCTGCATACATCGTATTGGCTTCCCTTGATTGCTAATCAGTAGATAACATTCAGATTCCAGTTTATGTTATCAAACAGGTCATTCTCTCCTTCCTCTAGATGTCTTGCCCATTTCTCCAAAAACATGTGACTTGAAATCCGACAGGGTAACAGTCATAGCCACTGATTAATTAACATATTCTTTCCCGTTTCTTTTAGTGAGGAAAGTTACAACGTCAATGATTACTCCTTAAGGGATCAGCTGTTGGTGGAATCTTGTGACAATGAGGAGCTTAATTCTTCTCCAGGGAAGAACACTTCCACAATGCTTTACTCAAGACAGAGCTCTGCCACTCACCTCTTCACTCTCACTGTCCTCAGCAACCATGCCAATGAGAAGGTGGACATGCTGCTCGGGGCTGAGACCCAGTAAGTGTACACAGAGAGAAGGGACAGAGTCACCCGACCTCCCTCTGCTCCACCCACCTGCTCCTCCTCTCCACAGACAGTGCAGCTATTTATTTTCATTGTTGTGTACCTACTGTGTGCTGAGCACAGCATCCAGTTACTTTTAGTAGATATGACCTCCTCAGCATCTCTAGGGAGGGATATTTATTTGGGGCCCTATAAGTCCTGATGAATACATTTTAGTTGAACCTTTTCATTAAAAAAATGCATTTTATTTCAATACTGACATTTTCATAAACGAAAACATTAGTATGAAGCGTTTTCCTTATTCATTCCTGCAAGTGCAGCCCTTGAGAAGCTGCTCCTAGTGCCAAAGTTAGGACATGGCCACTTAACATTTCATGTGGACTCATTGTAGCTGCTATACTTTGTAGCCTTGAAACACGGTTCATCCACTTTAGGCAGAATGATTAAAGGGTACAGGCTCCAAGCAAATGCTGCTTTCTTTGATATTGAATATGAAGTAGTTTCTGAATCATTTGCCTTCAGTCAGACAGGGCAGAAGGACACTCAGAATCATACTCGGCTTAGGGAAAGCATTTCTCGATTCCTCTTTCCAGCCAGTCTCTGAAAGCAGGTCAAGCATTCTGTGAGTGCCTGTGGCTTCACCCACACTTACTGTGCAGTCCACTCTCACACTGAATGAGGGGATTAAGGCTTGACTTGCTAGCCCACCTCGGGAATTTGGTTGATTTTGCCATTGCTGACCAATTTGTTTGGAAACAAGAAATCTCTTGGATATCGTCATGGACCAGTTACTACATTGGATCAGAGAAGAGAGCGATGGAGGAAAAGGAATTCCCCAAGTCTGGATACTCTCAGGTCCTTGCATGTTTCCTGCCATCATCAGTTAGCATTCCCATGTAGAGTGGTTAAAATGGATCAGCAAATAGTAGCAAATAACAGCCGCACCTGGAGTTAAGTCTTTATATAAAAGTATTTTCTTACAGAAGTCTTTTTCTATGGGCCCACAATTCTTCCCCAGGAGCTGTAGAAAAGCCCAGAAGAGTTTCTAGCATTGCCTTCCATGTCTGCTGCTTTTGAGAGAGGGCATCCTTGGGTGTGTGCTTCTGGAATCTAGCGTGGGACACATCCAGGGCCAGAAATAAGGAAAGACATCTCTTCAACCCTAGAAGGCCTCAGGTAGCAGAGACAGAACTAGACTTCCTTTGTGTGAGACAGTGTCTTTTCAAAATGGAATCAATATGCTGGATTTTGTGTTACTTTAAGAAAAACTTAAACTCTTTGGGAGTTAACACTTGTTCAGACATTCCAGAAAATTCATGGAAATGTCCCCATTAGTAATGCAGAAAGTGCTGCTTTTGCTTGTGTTTTCCTCTTCTATTCACAGTTTGTTCTTCATTCAGGCTTTGCCAATGTACTGAAGAGATTTTCTTGACTGGTTCATCCATTATTTATGAAATCTCCATCGCTTGTTTCTCAAATATTCCAAGGCAATGTCCTGCTCTTTTCAAACCACGGCTAGATCTTTTCCAAGTCTGCAGAATCTGTTCTATCCTCTTGTCTTTGATTTGCCTTGGACTGAACAGTTGCCTGTTTTCTTAATCAGACATGTTCTCAGAATATTTAGTTATGTCACCCATAAACCCATGAGTATGACTCATATTTGTCGTTCTTTCATTAATAGCAAGAGAACATTCCAGAAGGGACAGGGGTGGCAGAAGTCTCTCTTTGGGAACAGAAGGAGTGACTGTCATTCTTCTCTTCCCTTCTCTGCCCTCAACTACAGTTGAGAAGTAAATGAATAGACTGGGTTGGAGGGCTTGTTCAGTGGTTAGAGCACTTGCTGTTCATGCAGAAGTCCTTGTTCACTTTCCAGCACTCATGGTGGCTTACAATCATCTGTAACTCCAGTTACAAGGGCTCTAGAGTTCTCTCTTCTGGTCTCTGTGGGTACCAGACACGTTTGCAGTGTGCATACATGTGCACAGGCAAAACATTTAAATACATAATATAAAGCAATAATTCTTAAGATAAATAAATGGGCAGATGCTGGCAAGATACAAAATAGCACTGGTAGAGATAAAAATAAATGACTCCCAAAGTGCTTTCTTAAAACTCACATGCACACTCACACACAATGAGTTGTTTAAGTGTCGAGCAAATTGTTGCATACTGGAAGTGGACATCTGTAGATTAGTCATGAGTTACTGGCTTTTCTGTTTTGTTTTATTTTAAGCTTACACCTGGAAACATACTACTTGAGTACTACAAAATGTACACATTATGATCTGTTTAAATCAACATAAATATACTTATCTCGAAAATACCAGTTCTTTATGGTGTGGGCTATCTGGTTCTGAGTAATCAGTTTTGGTCAGTGTAGAAAGTATTCTTTGCATCTTAGATTTGGGAAATATTGCTTGGATTTGTGAACTGAAAAATGATTCTCACCTAGAACCCATCAGTGGCCAATAGCTCATCAGTGCTTGGCAGTGTCCCATTAGCCCCTTTTCCATCTACAGTTGTTGACAGGTTGAACCTTGTGCAGGCCCTGTGAAAACAACCTTAGCTGCTATGAGTACATGGTTGCAATGGCTGTGTCATGTCTAGAAGATGCTATTTTGTAGCTCTTCTCCATCCTTGTCATCTGTCTATCACTTCTACCTCAGTGTTTTCTGAGCCTTAAAGGGGATGGTATAAATGTCCCATTTAGGGCTGTGCACTCAACTGTTCCTTACCTAAGCAACCAAGCATCTCTTCATTCATCAATGTTTGCTGTAAAGAGAAGCTTCTCTGATTAAGGCTGAGAGTAGCACTTGCTTATGGGTATAAACAGGCCTGAATCCAATCATAGAACATTGGATGCTCCTATAATGGTTGTATCTTTATTGTAGCAGTGTACACTTCTTGCCTAGTGGTTGTATTATAATTCATAGGTTTCAAAGTTGATGCCCTTTCTCTCCCAGTAGCCTATAGAGCACTCTGGCATTATGAATGCTAGCTATCAGGGAAGAAGCTTTCTGCTCAGTTCTGCCTTTATTTCTCTATATTTTGCAATCAAGATACATGGCGTCCTCAGTAATAGTGTCTTATCATCTAGTTCTGGTGGGTAATCAGGAAGAATGGCAAGAACCTGCATTATTTGGGGATCAGCAACTCACAGGAGGGATTCCCCATGTGATACTGGGTTATCTGTTTAATAGCCATGACTTCTAGGAGCAGAATTATCTAGCAAAGAGAGGCATCTCCCTTCCAACTCTTATTTATTTTAATTTACACTTTTAATTTGCTTGTAAAAATATAAATTTCCGGCAGGCATTGGTGGCACATGCCTTTCATCCCAGCACTCAGGAGGCAAATGCAGGCGGGTCCTGAGCGAGCTCCAGGATAGACTCCAAAGCAATACAGAGAAACCCTGTCTCAAAAAACAAAACAAAACAAAAAATTATAAATTTCCATAATACTGTTTCATACACTATTCATTTTGGCTTCCTTCACTCAAGTGATCTCATTTTTCTAATCCCCCACCCCACCCCACCTGTGCTTAAATCTGTTTCCCCACCCACCACTTTGATACCACCTCTGTCCTACTAACTGATGTTCCACCCCTGAACATGTCCTACTCCCCATTGGCACCTTCCTAGTTTCCTGGCATCTATAAGCATTGCTGCTAGAGCAACTTCTCCCTCTCCCCTCAATTTCTCCTGGTTTTCTACCTTTGTTCTTAAGGACACTGCTGACCATTTTGTAGGATTACATGAGGTGTTATACACCGTATTGGATCTGTTTGGCTGGTACAAACCTTAAGTGATTGTACTGCTGATCACACAAGAGTCTGAAAAATATGAAGTTACTGTTCATGAAAAGACAAGGGAAGAATGTTTTACTGTCGTATCTTTTTCCTCTAGACTTTTCAAGAAGAATGTGGGAGAAGGAGAATCCCCTTTGTCTGCCTTCATTAAAATGAAGCACAGACAGCTGCAGCTCCCAAAGGCAACAGGCTGTATGCAGCAAGTGATGTCCTTGGCTTCCTGCATGGGCAGTAGCATTTGGATGTCCTTAGGTCCAGTGTGTTAGGGATGAGACATCTAGTATGCGTTCAGTGAGGAGTGCAAGCTTTCTTCAGCTTTTCCATGTAACTGTAGAATAGAATCGTCATAAACCATAACTAGAGGTCCTTCTTTGCATTTCTCTCACAGGGAAAGCCGGGAGTCTAATGAATGTGGCTGGTGCTGTCAGCCATCCAGACCACCCGGTGCTGGGCCACTGACAAAGAGGCATTGTTTGCAGGGAGCTTTGCACTCTTCCTGCTCCAGTTAATGATTTAATTACAACAGGAAGTAAAAGGATGGAATAAAGTTGTAAATGGTATCTCAGAGTCAATCTTCCTTCCTTTAGGAAAATCACAATATTAATGGAAAAATGGTATTTCAGGTTACAGTATTTTTTTTCCCTTCTTGAATGTAGATTCTGGATCCCAACATGGGCAGAACATTTTTTAATAGCACATAGCAATGTTACACACCAATGTTATTGGGTGGGGGACCACAATTGGAAGCCTTCATTTGATACTCAGTGAGTACTCAGGTGGTACTTATGTTGAGCACTGACATTTCACATGAAGATATTAACAACTTCACAGCCAGTCCAAACCCTTGGCATGTGTGTGTGTGTGTGTGTGTGCGCGTGTTTACCATTGTAGGCCAGAGAGAGAGAGAGAGAGAGAGAGAGAGAGAGAGAGAGAGAAAGAATTGTAAATCTGAATTAATATCTCTTATTTTCTAAATAATAGCTTCTATTCTAAAAATGTTGGAAAACTAGCACTGCCCTTTGCTACTTGTTTATTTTTGAGATCAGGTTTACTACAAAGCCCGTGCTAGCCTGCAACTTATGTTACTCCTGAGTTATGTTATCCCTGAGTGCTGGGATTCCCAGCAGTGCTGAGGCTGCAATGTGCTGTCATTTTAGCACCTTCCTTTTTAATACTTACGTAACCTTTAGTAGATACGGTGAGAAATTGGATTTCTGTGTCTGTGACCATTGTGCAATCAAGTTTAAACCTGCTGTGCCTATTGCCCAGTTAAGGGACAGGATAAGTTGCTCAGCTACTATTCCCCGTGAAGGAAAACTGCCATGACGTCTTATAGTGCCGTGCGTACAAAACTGGGTGATAATGGAAGGACTGTTAAGTCTCTTCTCCGCTTAGTCTTCTTTCTACTCTGGGGTCCAATGTGGCTTAAGGAGTCTTTCCCCAGCATGTTGCTCACTGTTTGAGGCTTGAATGGATTCATTCTGTTCTGTCTGCTCCATTGTATTAAGGGCTGTGAACAGCAAAGAACCATATTTTGTGCACTCTGCACTCTCAGCCTAGTACAGAGCCTGTGCACTCAGGGGAGGCTGGTTGGAGGAAGGCTTAGTTGTGCCCTGGAATTGGATTCCCCACAGTATGAGTTTGCATTAGCCTAGCATTTCCTACTGGATTACTGTGAGCGAAGGAAAAAGTCTGAACTGCATATGTGGTAGGTTGCAAATTCCTCTTGTTTCGTATTGTCACTGGAGAGACTAGATAAGGGTGAGCCATGGACTTTCATAATGGTATTTCTGTCCTTAGGATTCTCTCTTACTGAGAGGGCTCTGCTCCTGCTTTAGAGATACCATCCTTCCACTTTCCTGGTGGGGCCAGCTCCTTGGCAAGGAGCTTAGAAGCCCCAGGGGATGTGGTGTGGTTTGAAGGCTTCTAAGAGGGGGTGGGGCTGGCTCAATTGAAACATTTTCAAGAAACAGCTCCATTCAGCAAAGCCAACAACAAGTGTCTTGTTCTGTCCTCTAGAGTCTCAGCAAGGGGCCACACTGTCTACAGGATGCCATTAGTATCCAGACAGCATGGCACGGGAGGGAAAGATTTCATCTGGACTGCTCAGCTCAGTGGCAGGGGACAGCTGCTGGATCTTGAGATTGGCCTTGCCTGAAAGTCCTGTGTAAAAGATTCAGTTCCACAGTGCTCCAGGAAGGCAGAAATTGGGCAGGATAGGACACAGGATAAAGACCTGCGGTGCCTTTGGTACAGCAAGGAGACACGTATCCTGAGCAGCGGAGATTTCTCTTAGTGAACCAGTCATCTGCTGCTAGACATTAGTTTCCAGCTGGCATTGTACTTTGGAAACTCCAATTGAGCCTGGGGCATAATTTGTCCCCATCAAACGGCAGAACTCAAAGTATTTACTTGGGAACTAACTGGTTTAGCGGTAGCTGTGTATTACTTATTACAAAACCAAGGGAAAGCATTTTTGCTTTGTATTAGAGAGACAAAGTTTTTAAAAGCAAGATGGTATCATCAGCTTCTAATAAGCTCATGTCCTTCATTCTCTGTGTGAATAGACATGCATATGCCTGTGTGGGGGTCAAAGGAAAGGCCCGGTGGGTAGTGGCCCGGTGGGTAATCCTCCTAGTCTGAGCCAGGGCTTCATTACCACTGTGTACACAGGATAGGTGGCACCAAAGCATCCTGAGATTCTTCTCTCTATGCCTCCCATGTCCCTGTGGGAAGCTAAGATTGCAGGTCCTCACACTACAGCATCCAGCTCTTACATGGTTCAGGGAATCCAAACTCATATGTGTGCGGACAACTGTACCCTCTGAGCAGGCACTTCACTCTTAAGAAAAAGAAAGAAAGAAAGAAAGAAAGAAAGAAAGAAAGAAAGAAAGAAAGAAACTGTTTGAACATACCCATTTCATCCTAACTGCCTGACCTATTTATTTTACATTTAAATATGTATCAATTTATTTAGTCTTGGCTTTTTGAGTCAGTCCCATTATATTGCTAAGAGTGACCTTTAACTTTTGTCAATTTTCTGTATACTAAAGAAGGAGACCTGATTCCTGCCCTGCCAGAGTTTAGGATCTGGTTATAGAAGCCGACAACTTGATAAACAATCAAGGTTCCATGTGTGTTTAGTAATTAGATTCGCTTGTAAGCAGATGTTTACTGAGCCTGGGTTTTGCACTAAGCAGTGCTCTGGAATTGATCAGTTAACCAACTGGCAGCCCACTGCCTGCTTTTAGGATATAATGAACCACCCATAGGTGAGGCTGGGCAGAGGGGCCCCTGGGGACAGACAGGGATTAGGAAGGGAATGGGTGTCTGTAACAGGGAAGTTACTTGGAAGGGGTGAGGTTCTGTTTTCAATATCCTGAGTATATAAACCAAAGAAGCTCAAACAGAAATGTACCATAGAAACTCATTTTCTAATATATTAAATAGGTGAGGTTAATATATAGGATGAAAATCAGAATGGTGTTTCCTTTGGACAGAAGACAATGGCTGACTCCTGGTCTGGTGACATATAGACGTGGGTTTTTGTAAGCAAGCACTTGCAGAGTTGAATATACATACAGTACTTTTTTTTTTTTTTAGATTTATTTTTAATTATGTGTGTCTGTGTGGGGATGTGTGTGAGTGTGGGTATTCGGAGAGACCAGATCCCGGATACATCAGATCCCGTGGAGCTGGAGTAACAGGCAGTTGGAAGCCATCCTTTGTACATGCTAGGAACTGAACTCGGTCCCCCACCAGAACCAGCACATCTGTGCGTCATCTCAGCAGCGCCAAGAGGCGGGAGTGTGGTAGTGGTGACTAAGCAAAGCCTGTTGCATGCACTGGAAAAGCATGGGCTGGTGTGTCCTCTGGCAGGTCCTTATATGGGCTGCTCTTCCTGGTATGGCAGGGGAGTTCAGTTAGGGGGTGAAAATGGGTTGTAGAGACATGTTTAGATGCAAGGAATTGGGAGAAAAAAAATGTATTTGGGGATAAAGATGTCTTTCCACAATGCACATTGGCATAGGAAATTAATTGGCTTAAATCCCTTACCTCCAAAATGCTAGCCCCATCCCATAGGCATTTGGGAAGGGTTATATGAAATAATGGAGGCTGAGTCCATGTATCTGACATAGACGAACTTAGGGAGTGCGTAAGAGAGTTTAAAGAGTATCTGTGTTTAGTTTGATTTAATGAACTTCATTTCTAATGCTTGGTTTTCTAAACACACAAGGACGATTATGTGATGGAGCAGTGCTTATTTACCCGAGACTTGTGAAGTGGTAGTCATGGTTAATTGTTGGTTTCAAGTAGCTATACCTTAGCAAGATATCAAAAAATATTGTGGCTAGTTTTCATCCTAATTACACTTATGAAAACATTTTAAAGCATTTGAGAATAGTCTAAACATGTCAGAATTTGTATTTCAGTAAAGCTCACACTTGCCAAAGGTGCCTGTATAAGAGACAACACTTTCTATGTCCTCTTTACCAGAATGGCTGAGTGTGTGGGAGGGGAGGGACCCAGCTTTACAGACTTGCCTTACAGGTGAAATTGATCCTTTGACCTGCTAAACTTCAGGCCAGGTGTGTGCTTTAATGTGCAGCGGTTTAATGTGCTGGCATAACCAGTTTTTCATTAAATGTCCAACTGTCATATGACCAATAACAAGTCAGATTTATATTTGCTTGACAATGACAACTGCTCTTTTGCCTTTTTAAAAATCACTCTGACCTGTTTGAAAGGCTAGACCCCTACCCTCTGGGATCCCTTTTGTCTTGGGAATGGGTTTGTACTGGCTATCTGGGATAAACTACTTTCGATGTCTAAGGGACGAATCTGAATCACACTGCTCTCTGTGTTTAGGAGTGAGCGAGCCCGCTGGATCACAGCTCTGGGACACAGCAGTGGAAAGCAGCCACCAGATCGAACTAGTAAGTTTCCAGGAGAGGTTGCAGCTCTGAAACACGGAGGGTCTCTGCCCTCTGCTGGCCGGCATGGTTACTGACCGGTTACACTACTTTCATCTCTACCTGCTTTACGAGATTCCTCCCAGGTGCAGTTGTTAGATAACATGAAAAATTGCTGCTTAGCCTTCCTGAGTTTGTTTCTCCATCCATGAGTTGGAGGCATTGGGTTCACAGTAGTTACTGGGGACTAAGGTAAATTATAGAGGGTGAAACCCTACTTGAATCATACAGGGCTTACCCTTAGCTGTTATTAATGGGTTTGAATATATGTAGAAAAGTGTGACGGTATGTTTGATTTTTATTGTTTTGTTTGAGAAGAAGACATGTTACTTAGCTCTGCCTGGCCAGGTTTCACACTAGTCTAGGCTGGCTTTGAACCCAGTCTTTTGCCTCAGCTTCCAGAAGGCTGGCATTACAGTGTATGAGCACCATGTCTGGTTACAAGTTTTTGGTCTAAAGAAAATTACCTTTTTCCTGACCCTTTTTAGTTTAAGTGACAATGTCAAGAAAATGTGCTTTAGTCTTCTGATGTCCTGCTAGGCTTATGATGATGCTCTGTTTCTGAATGATCAGTTGGGGGACTGAAGAATGAGGGTTGCAAAGGTGGTTTTCAGGAGCTGATGATCACAGCTTTTACAGTCAAAGCAAAAGTGTTTGGTGTGACATTCAGTTTTCTACTAAAAACATATAGTGAAGCCATGCCAGTTAGTTCTGCTGAAGTTGTATTATTGTTTTTGCAAATCAACATTTTGGGTCCTCCGAACTAGTTTGGCAAGCTTTTGGTTGGAGCCCTCACTTTTTCTAAGCTTTTCACAGCCTTTATGTTTAGTTGCTGGTAGGACCAGTGTGCTGTGGATAGAGATCTGGGCACTGACGTTTATGAGCTTGACCTATCAGCTCCTCTCTTGCCTCAGTGTCCCCAGCGTGCAATGGCTATTGGCAGTTCCATATTATGAATGACTCCTGATTAAGGCTACTACTGAGCACATTCATGTACCATAAGAGCCCTCTTGAACCAGCTTTTAAAACTCTAAACTTCATAACCAAGCATGAGCTTCTTAAGTAACTTCCCCACAGGAGCCTGGCTCATTCCACCTGTGTCAGTCCTGGAGTCAACAGGTGAGGGAGTGGATGCATACTGCTGCTTTGTACAAGTTTTGTTCCCCAGCCTCTGGAAGCTCAGTGTGTCTCCTTTCCTCCACAGCACTGACCCAGGTGGAAATCATTAGATCTTTTACTGCCAAGCAGCCAGATGAACTCTCCCTACAGGTGGCAGATGTGGTCCTCATTTATCAGCGTGTTGGTGACGGTGAGTAAGAATAGTCCCATAGGCACTGGTGATGGACTGGCACTCAGAGCCTCAGGTCCATGGAGTTTAATTTTGTCATCAATACCTGTATTCCATAATCTGACACAGTGATACTTCAGCTGCTCTATCCAATCCTTAACTCCTGTCCCTGAGAGTTCATGCCCCAAACCTGAAGCTCCTCGGAGCCCTGATGATTGCTAGACCTGGTCCATTTGGAAACCCTTTCCTTGCCCCCTCTTCTGCATCTTCTGTTTTCTCTCCATGTTGACTTTTGAAGCAGGATGCAGTCACCATGGAGTTTCCTTTTCTTCCCAGTCCTGCAGTCACCTAGTTCTCAACTTTTCTGCCCTGTTCCCTTACTTAAAAAGGAAAGGGTTCCCTGCTGCTCATGTCCAGTGGATTCCCTGCCCGAGCTCAGCCAGCTCACACTCTCTCAGTCTCCCAAGCCTTTTGCTCATGTCCAATCTCTGGTGCATCACTCATCCTCTCTTGAAACCTTGTCCTGTTTCACCTTAACAGGAATCTATTGCACTAAAGTTTCTCCTTGCCTATTGTCCATGCTAACACAACGCACAGAAGAAAAGCCACCTCTGGATGGGGCATCTCTTATTCAGAGTGCAATGGCACAATAAGATTCCCCCAGACATGTCTTGCCTGATGCAACCTGCTTTTCCTTGCAGGCTGGTATGAAGGAGAACGACTTCGAGATGGAGAAAGGGGCTGGTTTCCAATGGAATGTGCAAAAGAGATAACATGCCAAGCTACTATTGATAAGAATGTGGAGAGGATGGGACGTTTGTTAGGACTGGAAACCAATGTGTGACCTCTCAGATGGCCAACAGAATGGGGGCTAGTCTTCCCATTATGACAGTCTGCTTAATTAAAAGAATGGAAACGCGCGCCTGTGAACTTGCCAAGTTGTTCTGTACTCTCAGAAGAACAGCTACAGATGCAGTTAGTCCACAAAGCTCATTTTTTTGCATAATGATGCTCCTGAAACCTCTTCAGGTCCTCTGAATAGTCCTGGTTCCTTCCACTTCCATCCACTGTGTTATGTAAGATGCTGTATTTTGGTTTCCCTGTCTTCATTTTACCTAGAACTTTGCTCTTCCCCCTTAAGTTTCTCCTTTTAGGTCCTGCAGCATCAGCAAGTTTGTCTATAAGGAGTGTCCACTTTGTAAATACTTTTCGTGTCTTAGCCTAATGCTGTTAATTCCAAAAGGAACTAATAAGAGTTCAGTAGGTAAGCTGTCGTGCTTTGTAAACCTCTTTCTACGAAAGAGAGATTGACACTTGAACTTTGCTACCATTTTCCTCATTAGAAGGAAAGTGAGGAGCCACCCAGTGAGGAGTTTTCAAAATCCATCTCATTCAATATTGGTCCTAGATAACTTTAGCTTAATAAACCCAAGCTACTAAGATGACATGGGCTTGACAGTTCATATATATGAGGACATCCGGAAGACAGGATATTATGGGTCAATTGCTAAAGAGCTGACATAAGACTGCTGCTTTGCCTTCAGTAATGCATGGTTCCTGACTGTTCTACTTATTTTCAAGTAAAAAGTGACTGCAACACACATTAACAATCTTAAGGAAGAAAATTAAGCTTAGAGAGTATCAAGATGCCAAGGTAGTACACTAGAGTTCAACAGTAATGAAGTTTTGAAAAATTGACTGGATAAGTATTTTCATTGGTAGCTATAACCCCTCTCTATTCACCAAGTAAAAACTAAATATACATTATGGGAGGGCTTAGATCTTTGTCCTGTGTCCATGCCCCTGTCCAAACAGCACCTAAACCATAAGGGTCCAGAAGCCTAGTGTGTAGGTATGCTTGCCTCTTACCCTTCAACCCATCCACCTCGGCAGTAAGCCACAGTAGACATCCCAGGGGCTTTCTCATCTTTGGGTTGCTTTCCTTTGCCTCTATATGTATTCCTTGCAAAAGATATTACAGGCCCCAAATTCTTGAAGGTATGAGTAAGTATGTGAATGAAGCAATAGCCGTGGCCCACTGCGAGAGATGTCCTAAGAGTAGAAAACAGGAGATGTCTCTCCTCTTCAATAATGTCACAAATGTTTTTAGAAGAAATGCTAACAAATTATAGTTTAATGTCATGTTTTACTTAGGATGAAGGTGTTGTTTGCAAGAGGAATCATTTTGTATTATTTTTGCTAATACTGATTTGAAGCTATAAAGTAACACTATGGATCCTGTGAATTAATTTATAAGTGTTAAACAGTGTGGAAATATATGTATCCTTTAAGTCAAGCAGCTGAACACTGTTATTAAAAGGTCTCTGCATAGCAGGTATTTAACAGTCATAGTGTTTCATTTCAATTGTGATTGTTTTAACATGACTTTTTTTTCAAACCTACTTTTTTAAATGCCTTCTTTGAAATGTACAGTGACTTCACGCCTGCAAAGCTGAAATGTTACTTTTGTTCCAATAAATTGAAACTGCTTGTAAACTTTCAGCAAAGCTTGTGAATTTATAAAGATTTTATATACACTTGTCTTTTTGTGCAGGCATGATTTAATTTACTTGTGGTGTGAAGTTATGATTTGGAGGATTGTGGTTAAACCAAAGCTGTACTGAGTAGGATATGGACAGCTAGAATTACAGACGATTCCTCTTATTTCTTGGGAGTGTATTAGTATCAGATACCTTAGGAAACAGGTGCTTTTGAGAATTGGGTCCTACTGTTTTTGTGCTTAGGAAATTTTATCATCTAGTAAATCATGGTGGAAGAAAAAATCCAAACCCTATGTTATTTTCCCATTACTGCAAAAGATTGTCACAAAATGAGTTATTTATGCAATATTTACTCAGTGTCTGTGTAGAATATCCCACTTGAAAACTGAGGTGTCCTGGGTACTTGAATACTAGGGTTCTCCTGTCTCAGAGGCTACCACATGATCCTTCATCTTCAAGGCAGCAATAGAATGCTTATTTCTGGTACTTGGAATTTACCTCCCTGTTCTGTCATTTGAGGGAGAAAACTCTTCTTTGAAGGACTCAGGATTAAATTAGACTCATGGAATAATTTCCTCAATGGTTAACTCAAGATTATTTTATTTTTTAAGTAGGCAAATAAATGTTTTGGAATTAACTAATTTTACTCCCTGGTTAGATCTGTAAATTTCCTTGAATGTACAACATAAAATAATATATGATGTAAACAACAGGGAGGTGGAAGTTAACAGAGCCATCTTAAAATTCTGCCCCCATCACCCACCATAAAACCTTAAAATGCTACATACTTCCAGCTTTCTTGCAGCTGCAGTACATCATGTGACAGTAAATACCCATGAGATCTGTCTGTACTACAATTCAGTAGTCTGAGGCATCTTTGTTATACTTTTACTCAAGCTTTCATTAGATGAAGAGATGGGCATACCATTTCTAGTAAGTAGCAGAACACAACATTCTCTGCTCCATTGCTCTAGGGCATTGGGAAGCTGCAGAGAAGCTGAGCCACTTTGATTTGTAGTTTAAGAATGCAGGTCAGAGTGTAGTATGTGCCATAATAACTTTTGTGGATGAAGTCCCCCAGGGGCTTATTCTAGAGTGGGAACATGAGCCTGGTGCAAACACATACCACCTAAACTCGTTATTTCTATGAGCAAGTGGTCATAGGTTCAGCAAAGATTCAGAGACATGACATTGTGGCAGAAATAACCAGCCCAGGCCCTCTGAATGCTAAAATAACCAGGTCACACCAGTATTCATAAATGCTTTTTGTAGAGGTTATGCCACACTTTAAAATGGAAGAGATCTAACAACTACAGAAATTTAACAGAAAGAAAAACAACTAGAAATTATATAGTTAGTCATCAGATTACACAGTTAAACAAGATCCCAGGGAACTAGAAGAGAGCCTAGAATCGTGGAGGCAATAGCCATGGAGATTCTAAGGATTTAAATGGAGTCCTAGAGAAGAGACAGGAAGGGAGCATTGCCAGAGAGGATGGAGAAGGTGTTCTGACCAGTCTTAGGAAGCAAGCTGAACCAGGAAAGGAGAATGATCTTGGCTACAGGGGATCAATCTTTCCAGCTGAGCACAGTTTTTGATAAACACTCTTAGTACCTACATGAATAACGACTTTTGGCCAGAATGTCACAGCATTCAGAATGTGTACATCAACATCAGATAAATGACCTCTACGATTAAAAAGTCTGCCTAAAGATGATGCCTGCATTACAATGAAGGGTGATTTTAGTCAAGAGAATAAAATAATTTAAATGTATATTCTCCCAACAATATGGTCTCAAAACTAAGTAAAAGAGAAATATAAATCAACATTATAGCATAAACTATACCAATGTATCTTGTTTCACTAGAGAAGGATCCACAAAAGCACAGACTTAATAACAATGTACTAGACATAGAACACCCTGCAAAAACTTCAGCATATGCTTTCATGTGGACATTTGCAGTTGACTCTTAGAGCCAAATGTAAAATGCAAAGCTTTTAACTTCTTCATAAAAGCAACTTCAGGTGACCTTGATTTTGGTAATAAAGACAACACCAAAAGTATAATTGACAAAAGAAAACTTGGTAAACTGAAAAATCTTTCCCTAAAAATCTTCAGTGATGAAGCTTGCAACTGTATCACTGATAAAAGAAATGCCTCCTGATGATAGTCTGCTATAATCATCAATCAGTGCCTTGTTCAGCCATCGTCAAAGAAGCTTCCTCCTGCAGCAGATTGGAAAATATGAGACCCACAATCAGACATTACATAGTTAGAGACCTTGAGACACTCAGCCCTAAATGGGAGGTCTCCATCAAACCCTCTCCTCTTTCCCCCAGAGCTTAGGGAACCCCACAGAAGAGAAGACATTTGTCTATAGAGCCAGAGGGGACAGAGGATATAAAGAAAACAAGACCCTCTAAATCAACATGACGCTCTTATAAATTGAAGAAACTGAAGCAGCAAGCACATGTTCTGCACAGGTCTGTAGCAGGTCCTCTGCATATATAAACTTAGTGTAATGTTTTGGTGAGATTCCCGAGAATGTGAATGATTCTTGTGCCTTCTCCTGGGCTCTTTCTGGTTGTCTCGTCCAACTTTGATGTGATGGTTTTTTTTATCTTGTATTTTATTTTGTTGTATTTTTTTTTTTAAAAAATGTATCAATGGATGACTGGACACCTAGCCACTAGGGTAAAGATGAACAATTGTCCCACTTGCAGGGACAGAGAAAGTCAGTTTTCTCCAAATGAGTGACATTGTGTCTATCAACCATTGCATGCCAGGCGTCATGCTCAGTAGTTAACTAACATATAATGGACTGCACAGCATTTTGTGTGTTGTTTGTTTGTTGGGTTTTGGCTGCCGGGGGGAGTTATTCTGTTATCTTGGTTTTGGGGGATATTGTTATACTGGTGTTTTGTTTGTTTTAGAAAGAACTAAGGTGGGTGCAGAGGAGAGGATCTGGAAGGTTTGGGGAGGGAAAGAATACGATCAAATATATGTAATGTTAAAAATTGATTTAATAAAATATAAAGAAAGCGGTATTCATCTGAAATATACAAGGAACTCAAATTTTAACTTGAAGATCAGAAATGATCTCAACTTTAAACAAGAGCAAAGATCTGGATAGCTCACCAGAGCTCACACAAAACATAAGCCTATGAAAAGATATTTGAATGTCAGAGTTGCAGACTATCAATATTGTCAGACACACTGAAACAACTAAAAGGAGGCAAGCATGGTTGTGGAACCCAACAATCCCAATCTCAGCACTGGAGAAGCAGACAAGTGGATCTCTCTGAATGCAAGGTAAAACTCTAATAACCCCAAACAAAGA